CCAGTTATTCGCAACTTTTATGTATATTTATAAATGTCAGGGCGTATATATTGCGAACGAGTAATATATTATGTCTGTGTCCTATGAAAGAAAAAAAAATGACTCTAAAAGCAACAAGTTTATCGTTATGCTGAAAAAGAGGCCATACTCTCGATAACGAGAATATTAATACACCTAAATGTTAAGCGCAAGCATGATGCAAATTTCGCTGACACAAATTGTAATCTTTAAAACCGCTTAATGGCAAATGTTAATCGCAGGGAACAATTTTTATTATAATAATTGTATACTGTTTTCGATACTGTTTTCGATTTTGACGTTACTTTTCCAATACATTGCCTATGTAAAAACTCCAGAATCAGTACTTTATCAATTAAATAAAAAATAAAACGGTTCGATCGAATGATCTGAATATTTACCATCGAAAGTGTCGTTGTAATAAACGGCATTAATGGTCTTTCGGAAGTAATTGATTGTCTACGATTTGACGTGAACACCGTTACGACGATACAATGAAAAATTTGATAATTTATTAATAATTTCCAGTTTTTCAATCTGTCTATCTAAAATTATAATCGTATTACTCAATACCATGACGAGTTTCGCTTTAATTAATTTCTTTCTAAGTAATTTTAACATTTAATTACATAGCTAATTCCCAGCCGCTATCGTCGCGTATTTTGTAAGAGTTGTGATTAAGCACGTTCGTTCTGTGATGAATAAAATATCGTTTTTCCTAGAAACTCATCGTGAAATTGTTTAGTCTGAAAATTAATGTTTCATGGAAACTTCGTCAGAGGGGGAAGAATTTCTGATTATTTTTGCATTTTAATCGGTGTCGCGTGTCTCCGCGTAATATTTTCCTTTTTCACGAATTTCTTCGTAATACATCGAAGAAAATACTCCAAATTTTTTATGAAGATTAAAAATAAATATTGACAATATTTAGATTTGTCTTTTAGGTGGGATCCTTTAATTTTCTTGTTATGAGAACAATCAGACGATCGTGGTCTTTTAAAAATAATAATAACAGTAATAATATTATATTTATTTCAGTCTCATGGCTATGAAATGGGCTTGGTTTACAAGCTTTTGTCTACTGCATTAATATCTTAACCATTCATACTTCACTTTTGCTCGTCACAGTGTTCTTGTAAAAATTTATTTGGATTCATTAGATTCGAGTATATTATCCGATGTTAAATAAAATACAAATGTGTTGAATATGGTTCGAGTCGACGAGTGACCGAGTTTAAACTCGAGAAGAGGAATCATGGGAACGTTGTGTGTGATCTGCGTAGTGATTCAGAGAAAATATGTATTTAACAAGTTGCAACATCTTTCTACATGTGGGGCGCAGAAAGTCCATAACAAAAGAATATAAAGATGACATCGAATTTTACATGAATTTTTAGCTGTAGTAATAATTGTTACACTATTTTCTTTTAGTTTCACTATTTATTTTTAAGAAAGTAAAGAAATATGCATCGTCACTGTTCCCGAATACTTTGTGCTATTTTCGAAAAGAAAAGACGCGAAAATGTGTTGAATTTAAAGAAGATTACGATATTCTTAAGGAAAGAATGGATTACTTATTACTAGATTACTATTTATTGTTTAATTTACAGAAATCAGAATCGACTATGAATTTATTTACCCTATTAAGGCTTCTATTAGACTGCAAATACAATAAATATCTCATTAATAGACTATGGATCGTAATGCAAATATCAAGCTTCAAAGATTCATTCTTGCAAATTAGAAACAAAAATTTCTTTACTCCATCAAAGATTCTGTCAGCACCTACATAAAATAAAATCGTGTTTAAACGTATTAAACTTTTTAATATACTGAATCTCAGACAACTGACAATGAATACACTATAAATGCATAAAATCTGCACTCTACTCATTAAAATTTGTTAAATTATGTAATTTCCCGTACTCTGTAGGTAACTACTGTTGTTTTCTTTTTTCTACATTTTGTAATTTTATAATTTTATAATTTTTACAATTTCTACAACTTTTATAATTTTTACCATTTTTATCACTTTTACCATTTTTACCGTTTTTACAATTTTTCTAATTTTATGATTTTCTATCTAATTTCAAGTTCTGTACACGTATACCAAAGATCTTATTACCCGTCAAATAAATTGACAATATTAAATTCACTGACAGTTACGTGGTGCCGTTCTCTCCCTTTGCTAAAAATAAACATATACCATATCTGCAATAGTAAAAATAACATCGTTTCGATTGTGAAATATCCCCGCAATACTTGTAATCTGTTTTCATAAAATCGATCGAAATCGAGGAAAACCGATCTCTCGTTCGGTTACACAGGGAAATTCTGATTCGAGGTTATAATTATCGTCCTGCCAGTAAGTAGCAGATAGTCCACCGGCAACACAAAGTGATTCATTTACGGCTGCCTCATTGTCTCTCCCGCTCGTTAAAAATCGCCTCGCTCCTTTCCGTTTATCGCCGCGAACTGACTCATTTGCCATCCACTGGCTTTGTTACATATTTCCCCTCCCTTCTACCGCCTCACTCACCCTTACATGGAAATATACCTTGTCCCGCGTGTCTTGCGACGCGAAATTAATCGAAATCCTTTGTCGCTGCCTGACCAATCCGGATGGAATGCATGCGAGGACGGATTTTTATCCCCCTTTTCCGACGAATCTCGCGTCTAATTACCGCAGAAAACTCGAATCGAGCTTTTCCGATTCGAACGGAAAGTTTCTGGCTTAGGTTCGGCTAGACCGACGGCGGCCATATTGGATTTCGACTGTCAGACCAAGGGAACCTAGATGTTATTTTTATGGAAAAAGTAGAGATCTAATGTACTGTTTTTTTGGACAATCTTGTATTTTACGGTGAAATGTGTAGGTGTAAGTTTGTGCTACTGACGTAGGGATGGTGGACTGTTAAGGTCGGCGATGGCCATCTTGGATTTTTATTTGGGATGAAGTGAATGTTGATGTCATTTATAAGGGAAGAGTGGATCTAATGTAGGTGTTTCTGGGAGAATCCTGTATTTTGTAATGAAATGTCTCGTTATTTTTGTTATTGATCTGGGGAGGGACCATCAAGGCCGACGGCGGCCATATTGGATTTTACTTTGACCCCAAGTGAACCTAAATGTCATTTACATGGAAAAGATGGACCCAATATATACTTTTTTAGGGGGACAAACCTCTGTTTGGTGATGAAATGTTTCGTTATTTTTGTTATTCATCTGGGGAGGGACCATCAAGGCCGACGGCGGCCATATTGGATTTTACTTTGACCCCAAGTGAACCTAAATGTCATTTACATGGAAAAGATGGACCCAATATATACTTTTTTAGGGGGACAAACCTCTGTTTGGTGATGAAATGTTTCGTTATTTTTGTTATTCATCTGGGGAGGGACCATCAAGGCCGACGGCGGCCATATTGGATTTTACTTTGACCCCAAGTGAACCTGAGTATCATTTAATATGGAAAAAGTGGATTTAATGTACTGTTTCCTGAGACAATCCTCTATTTTCTGATGAAATGTATCTGTATGAGTTCCTACTATTGGTCCAGGGAGAGTGAACCAACAAGACATACGGCTGGGTCAGTCGTGACCCGTGGTCATATACATAGTCATGTATAATAAGTCATATATCATCATAAGAGGTAGTGGTTTCGTCATTATATAAATAGTCATGGTGATTGTGTTTGTTGACGGATCATCGGTGACCCGGTCATAGGAGCCCGAGGGTTAATAACGATTATTAAAACACAAAATGTGCAATTCCAAGAAAACTGTTCATTTTTAAAAAACTTAAAGTCTGAAATGGGAATCAATGTTATTAATTATGTCTCACGGTTTCGCGATCACAGAACCGTGTAGCGTTAGCAATTTCTAGCATCGTTCCCGATTTTCTCGTTCACGACGGGTGTAGGTACACGTGAATCACGGTACGGTGTTTCACGTTCGATATCGAGTTCCGTTGCTCCTGACGCAAATCGTTCGTGGCGAAGATGCGATCGTACGGCTCGAAATGTCGTCCGACAAGCCTTGTGACGTAAGATCCTACTGATTTCCGTTTCACGTAATCCAGTTGTAACGAGGTTTTGGTTGACATTACGATCGCGAATTAGCAAATTGTGTATCAAATTCTTGACGTGTTGATAACGTTTCAACCGTGTAGGAACGGTTATATACGCGGATGTACAGTAGAATTTCTGGTATCCGAACTTATAGGAGACATAAGTGTTCGGATAATAGAACAATCACGTTTTCTGATACTAAACTATATTTATTGAAATAGAGTTCAGTCGAATTCGACAGTTTGTTTAAATATTTATCTGATTGGATAAGAGAACGTTCGGATAGTAGAACGTTCGAATAATAGAACAATCACATTTTCTGATACTAAACTTCATTTATTTAAATACAGATCAATTGGATTGCCTCTTTGCTTAAATATGTATTTGTTCGGGTACTAGAACGTTCAATATTAAGGTATTCGATTAATGGGTGTTCGGATACGGGAGGTTCCACTGTAATGTGGAATGTTCCTTTTTACACATTCCTGGTTTTTTTATCTTCTCAACACGGAAGACCTTAATTAGGCCGAGCTAGATTCACTATCGTAAAATAACCTATTTATCATAACTAACCTTCATTTATTTAAGTAGAAATCAATCGAGCTCAATAGTCTGTTTAAATATTTATCTCGATAATAGAACGAATAGAAATAACTTTCTTAAGTTCCAAGGTTCCAACGTTTCGAGGAAACTCGTCCCTAGAAACAATACATACAACTAATATTCTCCCGCGAGGACTCGACTCATCCCCCCCCCCCTCCTTCACTCACGAGCCGAGCGCAAAACGCGTCAGCTGCTCCGCCAGTCGTCTCCGCGACGTCGTCGAGGAGATATTAATTCTCATTGTGTCTTCGTTCCCCTCCTTCCCCAATTTTTCTTTTTTTACTTTTTTATTGTCCCCTCTTGTATTCGGTGTTTACAACCGCAATTCCAGTGTGTCTTTTTCCCCAAGACTTTTATTTATTTTCACGATTTTAACAAAAAAAAAACGGACACACAGACAGTGGAGTTTTTTTCGTGTGGATTGTGTGCGCGCGCGAACGGGAACGAGTAATTACGCAATTAACAATATCACGACGCGGCGCAACGTAATTCGTTCGGGTGATAAGAACGACGATGGAGGCGACCTGCGTGGACCAGTTCGGGAGAGCGAATCGGAGGAACGGCGAACGGAAGACGGAGGATGCGGAGGCCTGATCCCCGAGTGGCTTCCGGTTCCGCTTCCGAAATGGGTCTGGCAGGTAAAGAACGCAGTGGAGGTAACCTGTAAATTGAACACGCACCAGTGAACGTTATATATCAGACACGAGTAAATTAACCCCTTCAGACCTGAATTTTCTTTTAAGAATAAAAAGAAAGAATATTTGATTATACATTTTAACTGACAAGGAAACACGTTGATTTTTGCGATTTGGAATGACACTTTGTGGGTTTATAGAGTGGTTTGAAAGAAATTTAGGAGTAAGAGATCTTTAAGGATATTGAAAACTAACCTAAAAATTAAATTCTTTCACTGTTTCGCGTATAACTCTTAAAGTACAAGCGATACACAAAAATGTTTCAGATAAAAGTTTAATGGTACAATAAGCACTATAATCTTGAGTTAACGAAATTTTAAAAGCAATGTTTTAAAATTTTCTTTTTAAGAAAAAATGGTTTTTTCAACATTTTGTTTACGCTGGTTTGTAGAGTTTATTGTACCATTCGACATTTGTTTGAGGCATTTTTTAATATCTCTTGTACTTTTAGAATTATACGCGAAAATGTGGGAAGGCCTATTTGACTTTGAGGTTAGTTTTCACACCCTTAAAATGAAACATATAGATAATGTTTGTTGAATAAATATTGAGGGCACAGGAAAAATGAAAATTAACTTACATAGATTTCTTAAAATATGAGATAAATGAAAATATTTATAGAGGTAATTGAAAATATCATAAAATTCATAAATATCATAAAAAGTTTATTGAGTGAGTATTGAGGGTACAGAGAAAATGAAGGTTAATTTACATCAATTTCTTGAGATATTGTTTACATAGGTAAATGTCTAAATGTAATTAAAAATAATCTGGTGTTTGTAGAATTTTCGTTTCCGAAACGGTATCTGGCGTATAAAAAGAAAGTAGACAAAGTTTATTCGATTTAAACCCTTGCCTTGCGATCTATCTGACGACTAGAAGTCTCCAGGACGATTGCATTGTCGATAAGTTTAAGCAGGTTTACATTTACTCTTAAAGTATATACAAATATAAATATTTCTAAATATTTATGAACCGTAAATTAATGCCTGCGAAACAGTATTTAACTTCGTCATAAAAAAAAAAAAACGAATAATATATTCATATTTATTAAATCCCATTTTGAAATCGTCATCACGAGTCTGAATGAACAAACATATTCGTAAAGGTGATCTAATTTCGACAGAATTAAAATACAAACAAAAATCATGTAAAACGTAATGTGATTTTGTAATATTAATTTCGGGGAATAAATAAGTTTTAGGATGTCTGATGAATCGATTCGACTCGTGCTCCATTGGACGAAACGTAGGCTCGGTTTTTTTCTCGACCCGTGTTTGTTTCCGTTTGGAGATTTTATTGTTATGAAAGTTTTGTTATTCCCCTTGGCGCGGTTGGAGCAGATTTTGCGTCGGTTTCGAGAACGCGACAGACGTATTATAGTTTGTTTATCCGAACAGATGGGAGTTTTTAGATTCTTTCGCGGCGTTCCCCGAGTGGATTCTCTTATTATCTTCCCCCACTGGCTCAGCACCGCCACAGGTGTCCTCTGTGCGTTAATCACGTTGTCGAGGTCCGTTTTACATATATGGAATTTTAAGCAGGCACCGATTTAGAAAATTAATTTTCAGCAACAGTTATGGAGCTGACTTTTGAGATATAATTGTTTTATACTGAATTATGAATAATTATTTTGGAGTTGGATCTTGAGAAATAATTTTTTTTGTAGTGAATTATGAACAATAAGTTTGGAGCTGAATTTTGAGAATTTGATTTTTGTGTAATTATTTTATTTGAGTAATTTTGAGACTGCATCAGAAATTATATTTTAAGTAATAGTTTTGGAGCTAGATATTGAGATATGATTTTTGGAACTGAATTTTTGTGTAACAATTTTGGAGCGAAATTTTGAGTTTCTGAATTACGTAGCAATTTTGAGACTGCATTTTAAATTACTTATTAGATTTTGAGTAACAATTTTGAGACAGACCATTAGTAGAAATCGTTTCAAGTAGATCATTATTTTGTAATTAGGTTTGAGATTTGAAGTTCGAATTTTAAGCAATTATTTGAAAATAGAGTTTTATGAATTTCAAATTATGAAAATTTTCCGAGGATAGAATTAGGTACAGAGAAAATATAAAATACACATAAACACGCAGAATGAAATGAATTAATGAAATTTTGTCATGTAATCCAAAAATAAAATACATATCTTCTTATAGATAATAAAACACTTTACAGTACCGTTTATTAACAACAATTGTTATAAAGTAATCAAGGTAAAAATTGAGAACAAGGTACTTTTTTAAATCAGCGAAGTTTTTTCAAATAATATTTACTCGATAAGTAACAAATTTTCGGAAACATTCATACTTTTATGTCACCTTGTGCATGGTCACATAAATTATCATTCAGATTTTTTTTTAAACAGCTAGTTATTGTCACGTAATACTGATTGCTTCTAAAAATGAAAGGTTCTTTCGGTGTTAATTGCTACGTTCAACGCGATATCATTTACCAACGAACTAACAATTATTCCCCGCAGAAATATTTTCGCACATAAAAATTTTTAAAAAAAGAAATAGAAGAATGGTTTCTTTCAAACTCTTCTCTTACGTAGCACGTTCAATTGGAGAAAGAAAAAACAAAATGACGGCTGACAACGAGTAAAATGACAATTATTGAAGAATCGATGACAAATTTTATGGAAATCACTTTGTCATCAAATTACAGCTTCAGTTGATTCCTATTTTTATTATTCTTTTTATACTCAACAAGCAAAACCATAAAAAAGCTCGAAATTTTATTTCTGTAGATCTTGATCTTCATTTATCATTCTTCTTGTAATAAATCTTTTTTCTAATTTTAGATTAGACCTGTTCAAATGACCTTAACTTCGTCGTTTATTGTAAAATATTTGTCAGAAAATATGTATACAGTGTGTTTATAGATTCTTCTTGATTATTGTCAAAGTCACTATGAGTCGGAAACTGACGGCTGCTTTATTTCACAAAACTTTTTCAACGACAATTTATACACACACGCCCAGTGTTTATAAACATGGTCTGTCTTGCATAATGTATCGGGCAAAGAAAAACATGGTGAATTTTTATCGTTATCTCAAATAATTTTTCACAGATTGAGAATTGTAAATTTGTCGCGTTGACCGCCATTTTGCATTTGTCAGTTCTGCCTAAATACATATGTATTTTTTTTTATCATTATTATCTTTTTATTCGCAAATACATTTAAGTTGCATAAAATAAGACGATAATTATTAGGTTGAGTTATCAATAAATTGCGTTTTCCTACTTTAAATTTACGTTAGTTGAAGATATTTTATAATTACTATCAATCGAGATGATACATTGTTCGTTGCTGTTGTAGTTAATAATCGATTTCTAGTTTACCCATTAGTAGTCACTATTTGTTATTTTATAATTTCTCTAGTGACCACGACATAAGTTGTTTATGACTGTAGGCAATAATGTCGCAAATTGCGTGCATTTATGATGCACGTGAACGAGCAAAACATACTAAAAAATGAATGCTCGGACAATATTTAATGAAGTCGTAAGTTTCTTTTTGAGTTAATGGGACTTTTATGAATCAGCGTATACTGATTCGAGTTCGCATAAACCTCTACCGTTTCATAATTATGGATAACTTGGAACAGAAACGAAACGTGAGCAAAAAGTAAAATGGCGGCTGACGTAGTGATTTTAAAGTACCCGATGCCTTAAGACTGATTCGCAATTAATCAACTATCATTAAGTCTACGGGAAAATAACGACTGTCTTGTTGTCAAATATTTTTACTAATATTAATAATTACTTTTACAATTTTTCGCCATTATGTTTGCAAAAGTTGAATTCTTATCAACTATTTTATATGATTCTAAATAACATGAAAACCCCATTTTAATTCCAGAGTTAAGGTACTATCAGATTCCAGTGTAAAATGAAAACCTAATTTTCACAAAATTATTAATTTCGGTTATTCTTTACTGAGATCCTTTAAGGCTGTTCTCCACTCGGTCCTGATAAAAGTTAATGTTCCCTTAAATCGCATCAGATTTATATTAAATAAAAATCTCAAATTTATCAAACATTTTACTATACCTACTGAATTTTAGACAATCATAAATGACAACAAACCACAAAAACGTTCCAAATTCCACAGTCTATATTGACCACTAATGGACCTTTGACAATAATAGAAAAATACCTGAACGAAATTCCGTTCGCCAACGGAACAGTAATGGATCTTTGACAATAATAGAAAAATACCTGAACGAAATTCCTTTAGCCAACGGATAGTGCACTCGATGCGTGAGTCCGCGATCGAAATAATTTTTCCAAACCGACGGAATCACCGTGTTACGTGGCGAATCGAGATTACGTTTCGTGACTATTTTCGAGCGCTGTGTTTGCTTATGTTAATGCTCAGGTTTCCATAGAACAAACGGAACGTCGGCGGGGTGGGAGAGCCACGAATTAACAAGTAAAAGAAGCTTTTAGCTAGAAACGGCTCGCATTAATTATTAATACTGTTAGTCCGGCGTGTAAACGTAGCCTCTGAAAAACACGAGCCCGTCTTCGGGCTCATTACGGCAGAATTTCAATGAATTCAGCGTCAGAGACGCTTCAGGGTCGCGTATCAAGTAGCGATTTCGAGTGGCATATTTGCAAATTTTAGGATAATTGCACTTCTTTCAATAATTGATAATTGAAGGTTTAGCGAAGACGATTGAAACTTGGCAGATATTTTCACCTATCCGTATACTAAAAAAAAATTTGAAAACATTAGTACTTTTTCTTCAACATTTTTCAGCTATTTTATCTGTCAAGATAGTTTCTTCCTATAAGAGTAGGTTCGTGTAAAATCAGTGAACATTAAAATCGTTACAACTCAGCACCGTGTTTAGTGGATTCGTGTAAAAATGTTTGCAAGACAATGTAAAATATTTGAATTAACCATTAATTGATTATTAAGTTCAA